AGTTGAACACATGATATAGCTGGGTGGTCTGGAACAGCTCTATGCTGAATGTTGGCCAAGATAAGGACAAGATGGATTAGATTAGATGGTGATTTATAAGGTGCTCTATAGGGTTTGAAACTCCCCTTGGTGGTACCCCAGTCCAAATTTTGTACTTAATTTAAAGATGTATCTAGATTGCTGGCTTACCCAGTTTAACATATTGCAAAGTCTAGCTTGGCTAATTGACAAAGGGCTATGAAATACCCCAGGGAAACTTATTCCCAGGCTTCCCCAAATTAATATTTATTGGACATATAGAGGAGGTTCAAAATCCATGCGGTGGCTTAATAAGAAGGGACCCCAGGGAACTGTGCCTAGGAATTTCTCAGACCCTTGATACTTCTGGGCTTGCTGTACTTTATCCTCTACTTTGATTAAAGCTTTGTGTAAATTTATACTGGAGTGCATTCTAGTGACTCCATTAACCCAAATATGTGCACCGTGCAATCATTATTTTTCCAAAAAAAAAAAAAAAAAAATTTAAGCATCTCTGCTCTGTCCTGAAAGCATATATGAAAAGTGAAAAAACCAAGTTTCAGAGAAATAAAATTTTCAAAGGAAAGGAAGAAAAAATGCATATGTTTGTCTAAAGCAAACATGTCAAACCCCAAGGCTAACATGGGCCAAATAAACAAGGCATGTGGCCCGTGGGCCACAAGTTTGACGTGCTTGGTCTAGAGAAAGGTGGCTGAGGATGCATCCATTTGACTTCCTTACCTTGAGAAAGTGGCATGAGATGAGGAGAACGTCTTCTTTACATATCTCCATTCGGCTTGTTACAAACATAACACTGATTTTTGTAGTTTGGGTAGAAAATGTTGCTGACTGAATATGTATTTCAAATTTTTTTAGACATAAAGTTTTTCAGTAAACCGTACCTTCCAGTGAACTCTTTGATGATGAGTTGACAGGGAACGTTTGGGTGGAGAGTGGTGAAGAGGCGAATGGGAGAATGTACTGTTGGGCTGGAGGCAGAGAGCATCTAGGAGATAGTCTTAGGACAAGTTAATAGAGAGGGAACTCCAGAAATGTGGTTAGGGGAAGGAGGTAGAGGCTCAAATGTGCAGAAAGAAATGATAGAAGATTGAGGGAAAATGAGCAGCCCCTGGAATGTGGGGAAGTGAAGCAGGTTTAGAGGATTGTTTTCCACGGTTCCATGGACGTGCCCCTGGTTCTCCCCCTTCTTAGTGGAGCGTGGTCTGCTGCGTTGGGAAAGCCTGTGGTGACACTCCTGTTCTGTAAATGGAACCCAGTAGAGTAGTTCAGGGGTATTTTGGGATGTGACCTGCAAACTGGCAGTATTTCAGGGAGGGCCAGTTTAGATTACAGAGCTGGAAGGGCTGGCCCTGAGCTGACATCAGAGGACACTCATGTTAGTTCATCTGATGGTTACATAACCATTTCCAAAATGTTCACACTGGAATTATTTCAGTAACTTATAACATTGATAAGTCTATTTTAAGCAAATGTTTAAATAGTCCATTGATATCGCCAAAACCGGTTTGGCTTAGTGGTAGAGCATCGGTCTGCGGACTGAAAGGTCCCAGGTTCGATTCCGGTCAAGGGCATGTACATTGGTTGCAGGCACATTCCTGGTAGGGGGTGTGCAAGAGGCAGCTGGTCGATGTTTCTCTCTCATCGAAGTTTCTAGCTCTCTATCTCTCTCCCTTCCTCTCTGTAAAAATATCAATAAAATATATTTAAATAGTCCATTGATATCATTTTATGTAGATGCTTTTTATTGTAATCACCTATCATAAGATTTATTGTTTTCAAGTATACTATTGTTTTAGTGTACTTACAAGCTTATACATCCATTACCACTATCTAATTCCAGAATATTTGCCACAACAAAAAGAAACCCTATACATGTAGGCAGTTAATCCCCATTCCCTGTCCACGAGTCCCTGACACCCACTAATGTACTGTCTCTATGGATCTGTCCATTCTGGACATTTTCTATAAATGGAATCGTATAAGGTGTGTCTTTTCTGTGTCTGTTTTTTTTCACTTCCTGTAACTTTAAAATGTATTCATGTTGTGTGTGTTAGCACTTTATCCCTTTTTATGGCTGAATAATCTTCCCTTGAACAGATATACTACATTTTGTTTATTCATTCATTAGTTGTGTTGTTTCCACCTTTTGGTTTATAAGTAACACTACAGTAAACATTTCCATACAAGTTTTTGTGCAAACATATGTTTTCAGTTTTCTTGGGCAAATACTTAGGAATTAAATTTCTAGAGTGTACGTTAACCCCATGCTTAGCTTTCAGAGTGATTGCCAAAGTATTTTCCTATTAACCTGGATTTTTTTTTTTTAACATCCTGTAAATGTTGTTCTTAATCTTAGATTTAACAGGGAGCAGGGTTGTGTCTTTAGTAAACCCATGTGACTATTATGATGGCTTCATATGTCCTGAGCACAGAAGAACATCAGCCATCCAGCAAGTATTTACTGAGCACCTCGGTAACAACACTGGGGATACCGCAGAGAGCAGAATAGAGAAAGTTCCCATTGTCACAGACCTTACAGTCTGAGGGTGGAGAGAGTCCTTATATTAACCCTCTCTCTACCAAATGTGTAGTGAAGCTGGTAAGTGCTCAGAAGGAAAAGTGCAGGGAGTTCATTTATACTTGGGGATAATGGCGGAGAAGTGGGTGTCCAAAAATTTTCTCCAAAAAAGCGATGTTAAAGCTGAAATCTGGAGAATCCGTAGACGTTATCTAGGTGAGGGTGAAAAGAAAGAGTGCTCCAGCCATTGAAACATGTGCAAAGGATTTTTAAGCAGGAAAGAGCATGAGTTGGGAGAGGGCAGAGAGGGTGGTAGCAGGTGGTGATGGAGAGTAGGCAGGCCCTGCTTCATCTAAGGCCTGTCCATGTTTGAGCTTATTATATGAGCGAACAGGAGTTGATTGAAGAGAGTTCTGAGCAAGTAGTGAATAATCTTTTTTAAGTATGCTTGTGTGTAAGGATATAAGGATACACATACATGGATACATCATAATCCATCATTATTTATATGTAAAATCGTTATATATAGTCATAAGAGAAACTAAATTGGAAAGAGATTAAGAATAAATGCGGGAAACTAGTGATGTGGCTAATGCATACCTCTAGTTGGGAGATGATGGTTGCTTAAAATAGGGGTGCTGATATTGGTGATAGTGGAGATCAAAAAAATTTTGGCAGAATTTGAAATGCTAAGGTCATGAAACCAACAGAACATTTTTAGTAGTAAAAATTATTCTCAATTTTCCAAGTCCCCCCATATTAGCAAACAAACAAACAAACAAACAAACAAAAAACTCTTTAAAAATGGAGATGAACAGTTAACAGTCATTAAGAGCATAATAAAACTATCAAAAAACATAATACAGTATTGTTAAACAAATAAGTTGCTTAGCAAGTATTGCCACAAAAAGAACAACAAAACAATAAGAAAGAAACCCCACTAGAACTAATAAGTGGATTTCACAAAGTTTTGGGATGACAAAGTCAATGTAGAAAAGTTTAATGCACTTTTATATACTACCAGTGACTAGTTGAAAAATGGAATAAAAAATATTGTTTACAATAAAAGGAAAAAACTTAACAAGTATCAGGAAATAAATCTAATGAAAGACCCTTACACTGAAAACTACAAAAACATATTTAAGAGAAATTAAATGAAGGTGGAAATAAAATCAAAGATACAGCTCATCCATGAGTTAAAAGACTTGAGCTCCAAATCAAAATCCTGAGAGGTTTTGTGTGCTTTTTAAGAATTGACTATTTGGTTTTAAAATTTATATGGAAATGCAAAGAACTTAAATATCCAAAACAATATTGAAAAAAGAACATAAAGTTACAGTATTCAAGATGGTATGTTGGTTTGAAGATATGCAAATTGATCAATGGTAAATACAGAGTCCGGAAATTGATCCACCATAGTGCTCTGGTAGTTTAATGGGAGAAAAAAACATCTTTTAATTTTTTTTTTAATTTTTTTTATTTTATTTTATTGATTTTGTACAGAGAGGAAGGGAGAGAGATAGAGAGTCAGAAACATCGATGAGAGAAAGTCATCGATCAGCTGCCTCTTGCACACCCCCTACTGGGGATATGCCCGCAACCAAGGTACATGCCCTTGACCGGAATCGAACCCAGGACCTTTCAGTCCCCAAGCCGACGCTCTATCCATTGAGCCAAACCGGTCCCGGCAAGAAACATCTTTTAAACAGAATCTCAGATATGTTGATTGAAAGCTCAATGCGAAAATGCATACATATTGTGTGATTTAGTTTAGTGTGTATGAGATAAAAGACTAACAATCTTCAATGACTATCGTTGCCTCTGGGGATGGAGGGGTGGATTGTACAGGGGCACAAGCAATCTTTCTGGAATTCTGTTTCTTGTCCTAAGTAATGGATTCACAGGTGTTTAGTTTTCAAAGTTCACTGAACAGAACTCTGAAGATCTGCACATATCATTATGAGTCACACCTCCATTAACAAAAGATCTCACAGACTTGAGCCAGGTGACAGGTACCCTAAAGAAGGGAACCAGGCTGGGTGTAGAGCAGCAGGAGACCATGAACACCGTAATAGGGCTGTGGCCATTAAATAGGTATATATCTGCTGTATGGCTTCTGACAAGCCTTAAGCGTGTCAGGCACTTTTCCATATCATCTTTGTGGCAGTCATTCCTTCAAATGCTGGAGAAAGCCCTTAGCAACACCAGTGATATTCCCCTCTATTGGTGATGCTTATTGTGGGGTCTAAAATGTACTATGATTGTTTCTAATTCTTTGTATTATTTTACATTTCATTGCTGTCATAATTTTAAACCTGTCAAAATGGCCCCTGGTTAAGTTATTGGAAGCTATTTATTTAAAATGGGCATTTCATCAGAAATAGGTTTTGATTAGTAGTAAAGCTGTTCTTTAAAATGTGACTTTTTTTTCTTTTCTTTTCAGTGTTGAGAAATGGTGCTTGGGAAATTGTACACTGGGAAAAGGTATGCATTGATTCTTACTGTGTTCCAGGAGAAATGCGTAATAGTGGATGTAATTTTTATGTCTAATATAAAAACAAATGTCAAGAATTCCACCGATGTGAAAGCTGTCTAATAATTGATGTTGTAAGCATACATGGAGTCCTCAGTTAGTCATATTTTTTAATACTTTTGCCATATGCTAGAAAGACTGTTTTCTTGAAAAGTAATATTTAGACCTTTTTAATTCTTTTATGGTTAATTTACTCACAAGACCTCTAATATGGTCATTAGTGAGTTAAGGCATAATTTAGCAAGTGTTATCCACGTGTTCATATGCTATTCAGACCTCAGTTTTAAAAGGTAAGCAATGGTTGTTAGTTCTCCCTTAGTTCTAGAACAGTGGTTGGCAAACTCATTAGTCAACGAGCCAAATATCAACAGTACAACGATTGAAATTTCTTTTGAGAGCCAATTTTTTAAACTTAAACTTCTTCTAACGTCACTTCTTCAAAATAGACTCACCCAGGCCATGGTATTTTGTGGAAGAGCCACACTCAAGGGGCCAAAGAGCCACTTGTGGCTTGCAAGCCACAGTTTGCCGACCACAGTTCTAGAACATTTAACCTCTAGTCACCCACAGATGTATGACCTTTGTACTTGGTAGGAGACTTTGGAATTGAGGCCTCTCTCCCAAGGGGACTTTGTTCCCTGAGCTTGCCAGGGCAGCAGAGAGGTAGCCCACAGCCAGTTTACTGGTACTTCATGTGTCCCAGTAGATTAAAGGCCGCGCTCTTGATTCTATCTTGTGATGTTCACAGTTGCCTCATATCCCTGCCCACAACAGGATTCCCTCTGAATCAATTACATTTTTGTTATTTTAAATCTGTGGCTAACATAGGGATTGACATCTCCCTTGCTAGGTATTTGGAAACTTACCACTCGCTTTGGTCGAACATAAAAGTAACAAAGAGGCCGAAACCGGTTTGGCTCAGTGGATAGAGCACCAGCCTAGGGACTGGAAGGTCCCAGGTTCGATTCCGGTCAAGGGCATGTACCTTGGTTGCGGGCACATCCCCGGTAGGGGTGTGCAGGAGGCAGCTGGTCGATGTTTCTCTCTTATCGACTTTTCTGGCTCTCTGTCCCTCTCTTTTCCTCTCTAAAAAATCAATAAAATATATTAAATATATATATTTTTAAAAAGTAATAAAGAGGAAAATATTTTGATTGTGCTTTTCTTATTTCTGCAATAGTCACCTCTTTTTCAGAAAATCAATGTATATTTTTTAAAAAGAGCCTCCAGAAGTTCAAAATAATGTTACAAAAGAGTGCCTTTTATGCTTTTGTCTGGCATTTGTGAATCTTAACACTTTAGAGAGAAAACAGATAGGATATTGTCCAGTATGATAGATTGAATTTTATTATATATTTCCTTCATATAGTGTAGTTAACATAAATGCATGTCCTAACAAATTGATAGATCAGTTTCTTAACCTTCTCACCTATAGTGCTTGTTCAGAAAAGAAATAGTTAGGGGATAACCATCTACTACACTCGTAACATTGACCTCTCAAAATAAATATCTTATTTTCCTAATAAGCAGCCATTTCAAGATTGTGCTACTCTACCTTGATTATTGTAGCTCTTTCTCAGTTTTTATAGAAAAAAAATAAATTATCAGCCCAAAATTACCCAAAATGATAGCATTTCCAGTTCTCTTGGAGATCTGTGTCATACTTGACATCCCACTTTGAGACACAGAATAGGGATAGAACTTAGAGTGTTGCCAAATGTCATCCAGCCAAAATGAGCTGGTTACTCAGTAATTAGAATTAGATACTTAATTAATTAGAATGAATAAAAGTTGATTCAACGATGAATTCAAGATAAGTGTTCAAATACTACCAGCATTCTTTTGTTGATAATAACAAGATTGAAAATACGGTAGGAAGCTCTGGCTGATTTAGTCAATGGATAGAGCATTGGCCTGCAGCCTGAATGATCCCAGGTTCAATTCTGGCCAAGGGCACATGCCTGGGTTGCGAGCTCAATCCACAGTAGGGAGTGTGCAGGAGGCAGCCTCTCTCATCGTTGATGTTTCTTTCTCTCTTTCCCTCTCCCTTCCTTTCTAAAATCAATAATATATATATTTTAAAGTCACTTACTTATAAAAAAAAAAAAAAGAAAAGAAAATATAGTGCGGAAATGAGTTCTCATTCCGAATGGCATGTTAGTGAGATATTTACTACACATAAACTTAAAATATATATTACCTTGGTAAAGAAAACATCAAAATTTTAGATATTTAAGATTCACATAAATGTACAAATTTTCATATTCCTAGAAAAGCTAAAAATAGCAATTGTTTCAAAGTATTCAAGTAATATAATCCCAGAAAAATTGTTCTCTTCCTAAAGAACTGACTAAATTTTTCATCTTAATTTCAAAAAGTAAACAACTGAGAAAATAGAAAAAAAAATATTTTGGAAAGATGAAGAAGAATGTGGAAGGATTAATTATAAAATGGAAAGCAAAACTTATTAAAATCATGTATATATGTTGCAAAAATACACATTGATAGATCAGTTTCTTAACCTTCTCACCTATAGTGCTTGTTCAGAAAAGAAGCACTATAGGTGAGAATAAATAGAAGAAAATAGAATACCCTGAAATAAAGTCCATTTAGTATTTGATAAAGCAGACAAAAAAAAATCTATGATAAAAGGAATGTTATTTAGCATCACAGATTAAATATTACAAGAAATAACAGTTTATCTCTAAATCACAGCCTTGGCTAAAATAAATTCCAACTGGCTAAAAGAGTTAAATGTTGAAACATTGTTTTTGAAAAAACATAGGAATAAAGACTTTAATAAATATTTAGAGAAGAGCAAGATCTCAAGATCTATGGAATTTGATTATACAAAATTTAAAACTAACATACAACAAAAACTACCACAAATAAGGTGAAATATGGAAAGTACTTACCCCAAATATGATAAAAGTTTAAAATCATCTATACTAATAAATGGGTAATATGCTAATTAGGCTGGACATCTTTTGGACATCCTTCCAGACAAAGCCACAGTGGCAGGGACTGAAGCAGAGGTGGTTAGAGGCAATCAGGCCAGCGGTGTGGAGCAGTTAGGGGTGATCATGCCAGCAGAAAGAGAGGTTAGGGTCAACCAAGCAAGCAGGCAGAGTGGTTAGGGGTGATCAGGCAGGCAAGCAGGCGGGTGGTTAGGAGCCAGCAGTTCTTGATTGCAAGAGGGATGTCCGACTGCAGGTTTATGAAGGATCGGGCCTAAATTGGCAGTCAGACATCCCCCGAGGGGTCCCAGATTGGAGAGGATGCAGGCCAGGCTAAGGGATTCCACCCCTGTCCCTGCCTGCGCATATATTTAATGCACTGGGCCTCTAGTCTATATAATAAAAGCCTAAGCAACTGTTACAGTGGAATGATCAGAATGGCCATTCACTATGATGCACACTGACCACCAGGGGGCAGACACTCAATGCAGGAGCTGCCACCTGGTGTTCACAAGCTGGGCTCATAGCTGGTGAGTCTAGAAGTGGTGGCGGGAGTCCCAGACTGTGAGAGGGCACAGGCTGGGCTGAGGCCCATTCCGCCCCCATGCACGAATTTTGTGCACTGGGCCTCTATTGTTATAAAATAGGAAATAAAGTTGGCAATAAGTAAGAAGTATAACCTGACTCAGTATAATATTCAATATTATAATAACAGTTGCTAATTTAAACAATATTGAAGTCTCACTTGCTATCTATTCAATAAATAAAAACAAACTCTTGTGTACTTCATAATTTTTAATTTTATGAAGTATTTCATTCACATGTTATTGTCGATTAGCAGTTTGGCTCTTCATATTGAGAAGCATAAAAAAAGGACTCTAGAAATATATCCCAAGAAAATAATCACAAAGTAAGGGATAACCTATATATGTGTAAAAATATTTATTGTAGCATTATTTATAATAGTGAAAAATTAGAGTATATGGATACCTAGCAATAGGGAACTTTATAAATAAAGTATAACACTCTGCACTCTGGTATATTTTGTGACAAGTAAAAGCTATAATTTCAAATACTATAACAAAAATTTATACCATTCATTCAACAAATATTTATTGAGTGTGCCAAGCAGTGAGCTCACAGCAGCAAGCAAGAAGTGAGGGTTTCTGCGTCATAAAATATAATCATAGATGAAAAGAACAGAGCAGTATATGTATATATATACTAAGAGGCGGACTTTGTAAAAAGGGTTTATAGAACATTAAAAGTGGACAGGCATGAAAGTAGGCTTGCTTGTTGGGTTCGCCAGACTGTAGGGCAAGTCTTTTCCTTACCTTATGTAATATTTTGTGCAATTAAAAATAAAATCAATAAACCAAACCTGAAAGTCAGATTCACATACCAGGGTAATATAATAGACCTTAGTGCAAATGGGCTTTGATTCAGGGTTCTTGCTTTCTCTGACGCTCTAAAGATGTAGCTACTGTGGTTGCTTTTTAATGGTTCTCCAAGGACCTACAAATTTGTCCAGCACACATCCCAGTCATCCACAGAGGGGGAGGCTTCAGCTCCCAAACATTAACAGTCATCTCCCCAGGTCCTGGCCTGAAGCCTTTTCTCAAAGTTAAGTTGCTGGTAGCTGGGTTTTTCTTTGGGTAAAGCCCTATGCCAGGCATTGCATCTCCACTCTTGAAATGTCAACATCCGTCTTCATTGTCTTCACCACAAAGACCAGTTCTTCAGAGACCAGTCTGCAGCTGAGACTGTTCACAGTAGCAGGTGGAATCTTAGGGTCAACTCATCCTTCTGGCTTTGCAAACAACCTCAGAGTGATCTGTAGGCTTGTGTACAAGTCACTCTATAAAGCTGCTTTAATGCATGAAGTTTCCACCATGAAATGTATTTCTTTGGATTCAGAATTTATATCTCCAAAATTCCCTAGTGAAAACAAACATGCTGAAGCCTCCAATGAGACAAAGACAGATTTAAAAGCAGTCTATTTTAGTTTGATAAGGTTACGCTTTTACATAATCCCCATTGTAATACTAATGTCAGTGATTTGAAGAGGCTCAAGGTTCTGGCCTAACTCCCTACATATTTTCGTAACTGCAGTGTGTTGGGGATTAAAACTGCTTTGTCATGATATTGACAATGAGAACTTGTGGTCAAAGAATTTTCGGCATCTTGACCTTCTCCTCTGTCTTTTCCTCTTATTCACACACCCGGCTGGAAGGGGGAATGCCACATTAGGAGCTCAGAACCCAAAAAGAAAAAGGTGTTTGCTTGTGTTTGAGAAAGTGATCTGAACCCTAGGCATCCTTAGGAGGAGGGCCGATCCCTGCTTTCCTGAGAGCTGCCTTCGCGAGCCCTTGTATTTCCCAGACTACTGAGGGAACTACAATACACCATATAAGATGCTAATATTTTCTTTTAGTCTTCAGTGCAATACTCCGAAGTCTTTCTTTGTCTTGCAATGAATACAAGTCGTGGAAAGCAGTACAGTCAATTACAAATTTTCTTAAGTCTGTTAGACTCTAACATTGTAGTAAAGATCCTGATTTTTGAAGCATATAGTCCAATTGGAGAGTGAAGGTGAGTGCATAGATAGCGATTAAAGAACAATTAAGTGGTAACCTGGGTATCATTCTATCTAAGTGCCATGGCACAAAGAGATTACATTTCTTTATCTTGCTTTCAGTTGGAGCTATCTGCGTATTACCACCACACATAACTTTAGGGACCACTTTACACCCATACTAGCTATTTTTTATTTTCCCAGTTTTCCTTTTTTTTGGATTTCAAGGTCCCTGGCAATTTGTCAATTTCAGATGATTTGAATATCAACTGTAATACATCTCATGTGTGTGTGTGTGTGTGTGTGTGTGTTTCAAATATATATTTTTATTGGTTTTAGAGAGGAAGGGAAAGAGAAAGATAGAAATATCAATGGTGAAAGAGAATCATTGATCGGCCGCCTCCTGCACACCCCACATTGGGGATTCCTGGTCAGGGCGCATGCCCAAACCCAGGCATGCGCCCTGACCAGGAATCGAACCGTGAACTCCTGGTTCATATATCTATGTTCAACCACTGAGCCATGCCTGTCTGGCTCTAATACACGCCTTTTAATCAAAGCATCCAGAGCTTCCCTACCTGGATAACCAGCACACAACTTTCCTGACCAGTTCCTCCCACAGAGCATAAAGTAGCCAGAGTGGGCTGTCCCTGCAGCGATTTCTCTTTTGTTATTCCCCGGAGAATGCCATTCTCTCCTTCCCTGTAGTAAAGTGTTATTTTATGGTTCAAGGAAAAATAGGGAGGGGAAAGAACAAAAAGGCTTTAACTAAAAAAAAAGGGGGGGGGGAGGCTATAATAATAAAGAAAATTAAAAAAAAAAGCTTTTCTTCTTGATTAAGAATTGAAATTTATTTTCAGGTTCATTTGGCTACAAAGAGAGGGCAACTTGCATGCTCTAACGGGAGCAGTCATCAGTGTAATGAGTTGGAGTTGTATTGTTTGCTAGAAGCTCTGTGACAAGCCCTCACTTAAATTACTTCTAACAATTTCTGGTGTAGTATATCTTTAGTTTGTCTTCAGTCCATACTCACAAAAATGCTAACAGTAGTAAAACGAGAAATATATTAAAATTTAAAATACAGTGATAGTGTCACGATATTTAGTTGTGCAAAATAAGGCTTTGTAGGCAGTCAGAAGTAGATTTCAGTCTAAGCTCTTCGTCTCACTGTGATTTTGGGCAAGTAACTTAGAACTTAAGACCCATTTTCTTCCTCCCTAAATTGGGAATTATACTAATACTATTTCATAAGGTCATCAAAAGGAATAATTATATGTGTAATATATATTTATAATACACTGAGTGGCCAGATTATTATGATCTTTGAATGCATAATAATCTGGCCACTCAGTATATATATACACGTAATATACCTGTAATAAACATAATTTGATAGCTTTTCCAATTATATTGAGATTTCCTTAAACATGGTAAAGATTTCATTTGATAAATTTCTCCTTTTTATTTTTATGTCATAGTGACAGAGTATGATAAGTTGAGATGTCAATTAAATTGATAAAATGGATAGATTTATTTTATTCAGATGGTATATACCTGATAAAGATACAGCATTCATTTTTTAAAGGAATTCCCCATCCTTGGCCTCTCTGGGAGATAATTTTTTGCCATTTTGGAGATAAGTGGTTCTTGTTTGCCAGTAACTATTTTTACTGTATTTTATGTTTAAGTACAATGGGTTATGTATTTGTATCTATCTTTCATTGCAAATAATTAACCAATTCCCAGTTTTCTTTCAGGTAAATGTTGGAGATATAGTTATAATAAAAGGCAAAGAGTATATACCTGCTGACACTGTACTTCTCTCATCAAGGTAGAGATACCTACTGATGCTCAAACAGTGTAGAGGATGGTCTCTCTACCCTGCATTGACCTTGTATTTCTCCAAGGAAATAAGGAATAAACGAAGAATTTTAAACCTCTCTGATGATTCTGAATTAAGCATTAAAAATTTGATTGTTCTTAAGAGACTTTTTCATGTTTGCTATATAAAATAAATGATAAGCACTGTACTTTATAAATCAGAACTTATAATTATTGGTTAAGAATCTCCTCTTCCTCTGGATATGTCCAGATCCTTTAAATGCGGACCACTAACTCTTATCTGATTTCCTGTCATTTATTTTATATAATACATGGATTGGGTTGTACTGATTTTATCTTGCAATCCTTGTTCATGACGAATCCCTTTATGATGCATTTGTATTTCTCTCTCCAAAGTTACTTGATTTTATGGTGCATTGGTACAAGAAAATGGATGATTTCTTTTTTTGACATCATATCTTTTGAAATGCCACACTCTTCCAAGAAAAATTGCAGTATTTTTATCCTTTTTTTTTAAATTTCTTTCCATTACTGAATTTAGATAATTTTTGTTTTATTCATATTTAAGATAGTCATGAATTAGTATTCAGAACATATGACACTGTTACCCTTTAAAGAATATGACTTTCAAATGGTTTTCGGTTTAAAAACTATAAAACTAGTTCTAACATAAAATAAGAAAATAATGTTTTTAATCTTTTAGAGGTTGTTTATCGTCATTTCCTTGGACAGTTTTATTTGTAAAATCCACATATAAATATGGACAGTGTCCTTTTTTTCAAAATCTGTTTAATCAGGTCTTTATGGAAAGTGATTGGATGTATGACAAATTAGTGAAAGTCGAATGAGCAAGTAAAACTTATCCAGATATTTATAGAAGTAAGCCTATAAATAGTTGAAATATATTTTCATATTTTTTAATCAGGAGCTCTGTGCCATTTCTTTATAGATTTTGAAGTTATGAAGTTTTTAAATTAACCTTTATGTTTATAGTTTCCTTTACTTAGCGTTTGATTAGGGTAGGTTTCTAAAACTGAAATAAAGGGGGTGGCCCGCACATGGCAGTGTGGGAATGAGTTTAACAGGCAGTCTGTTGTCTTTGTCTCAGGTGCTGTAGGGCTTCAGTATGAAAGAGAGCATTGCTTAGGAGACAGGGGGCCAAGTTTCTTGGCTTGGTGATTTTCAACAAAACACTTAATCACTCAGGCCTTAATTTCATATCTTTTTAACTGAGGAAGATAGATTACTTAAACTCTCATACTCCTCAATTCTTGTTGTTTAAATTGATAGCATTTCATTAAGCTTTCAGCATGTCTGACCTATAGATTGATATGCCAAATAAAAGTTTGAGAAATATACTAGATGACTGACCATCTGAATGTCATGTTTATATAATTTTCAAAATGATAGTAAAACATTTCATCAATTTGTGTATTGATGTTTTTCTGATTAAACTTATCATGGAGACATTATCATAGAAATGATATGTCATAGTGAGAGAGTATGATAAGTTGAGATGTCAATTAAATTGATAAAATGGATAGATTTATTTTATTCAGATGGTATATACCTGATAAAGATACAGCATTCATATGCTGAACCATTGATTACAATGTTTAAATTTCGTATGCTCAAAATTATGAAGGTAACTGCCTATACTGCCCTAGCTTTATACTTAGCTCTAAGTTAAAAGTTGTCAAAATATTTCTCATCTGCCTCTTTCTTAATCCCAGAAATTCCCATAATGCTCTGTATTTGTAAGTCTTAAACTTCAGGGCACTTTAAAAGGATTTATTTTCTAAACATTAAAAACTTTTACTGGTGGCTATCAATATTGGCAAATCAAAATAGTTCCTTATTTCTTAATATAGCATCTACAGTGATTAACTTCCTCCAAAAATTAGTACTTTTAAAAAGATTGCCTGATATTTCTGTCCAAGTGACAAAATACCACCTGTCAGTCTTTTTTTTTTTTTTTTTCAAAAGGGTTTTTTAATTACTTAGCTCTTTTGAAATTTCATTAGATTTTAAAAGCAGGTGAAGTTTTGTCATCATTAACAAAAAGAGGAATTTTGGCTTTATTTTGTTTTTAGCCACTTAACTTTAGCTAATGATAAGGTCACTGTTAGATACTTAATTCCTAATCTAATATCTTCATTATACCATATATCTGTTATCAAAATAAGTACATGGTGATTTTCCCCTGTACTAGCAATAAACAACAATTTATAATATTTCAATTTCTAATTTTTAAATTATTACTAGTAGTATATCTTCTTTGAGGTAGTTTGAAATTAAAGTATGAACATGTTGAAAGTAGTTTCATTGATTTTCATTTTGAAATAAAGAAACTGAAATTTTGTCATATAATAAACAAATAGATTCATGAGTTTAGAAAGTATAAAATAGAGTAAAATAACTCAGACTATTAATTCAAATCCAAACAGGTTCTTGGCATGTCTACTTTATACTTTTGAGATTTTTCTCCCAGGTTCAAAGGATTACCCTCCCAAAGTGATGCATTTCTATACTTTATTAGTTATTAAATAACTCAAAAGACTGCAATTATGCCTCCTAACATCCTAAAATCCATGTATTTGCAGGTATGCATTAAAGTTCATAAGATATTTATGTAATAACTTTGAAAATACTTTGTAATCAGAAAATTTTAAAGTTTTTTTTTTTTTAGTGTATGTATAAAAGAAGAGCTAGTGCAGTATACTCTGTTTTTCAAAAGTAGTTTCCTAAAAAGTAATTTCCACAATTATTTTCTTTCTTCTGTGTTAGAAGTGGACACAGAGTAGATTGGCAGGAGAGTGGGGGAATTAGAGAAAATAAAATCTTTCAGATAAAGTAGCTCTCTATATAGAAAGATCTTTTATTAAATATGATATGATGTATTTATGATTAAATTTTTAATAAATCAGAAATTTTCACATTAAACATTGAGCTTCAAAGTGAATACATAATCCTTCAATAGCCCATGTTTTCTTGTACCTTTGGACCTGATCAAAATAAGTTTTGAAAAAATTGGCATTAGACATTTTATTAACGTGTTATTTTCTATAATAATTTCAAACTTTCTGTCTCCTTTGTCCATTTGTTGTTTTTCTCTGTTATTTTTTTTTTCTCTCCATTTTGATTATTTTAAACTGGGACCTGTAGGTGGCAGTAGGGGAGATAGTGAAAGTGACCAATGGGGAGCATCTCCCAGCAGATCTCATCAGCCTGTCCTCAAGGTTAGAGCGCGGAGCCCTGCAGGATGTGTGTATGGGATCCTCACCCTCCACCAGAGAACAGTTACACCAAAAGATGACTGAGTTCTGTGTCTCTTCCTAGAAAACACAGACTTTTTTCTACTTCTTGGGGATGGACATTTCACAGATGTTTTAAAGGCCTTGTTGAAAGCAATGTTGGCTGATGTTCATCCCTTAAGTATGCAGATTCAGCTCCTATCCGTAGGAGCCCATGAGGCATGCCATTAAAGCTAGACTTTAATTTCCTGTGCATCATTCATATATATATTCTTTTTTTTTTTTTAACAACATGCCTAAATACTAAGGCTTAATTCAGTGCCGCTCCAGGATATTATTTTGAACAATGTTAAGCTTTACATGAAAGCTATTGAGAAATATTTAAGATTTTAAACGGTTGTCTTACATCTGAAATTTTCTGTAAGTTCTAGAGAATCCCTTCAGCACACATGGCTGTTATTTGGTCTTGTCTAGGGACTATGGAGGACTCCCTGCACAAAGCTCACTGTTGTACATTCTGTACCGCATGCTCCAGGGTCAATCGTTATCCCATTTGTAACTAGTGACAAAGTGCACATGACGGTGGTAATGTCAGCTGTCTGCTAGTGTCTTGGGTGTGATGTGCATCTTGTTTCATTTTCCCACTTGCTAATCAAAAAGCCTGCTTTGCTTCTCGGCCTGTAGTTTGTGTGTTGGATGTCTTCATACTTTGCTGAAATATCTAATGTCTAGCATGATTCTTCTCTGATACATCTTGCTGCCTTTTCTTAGCACTGTTAAGAACCGCTTCAGTAATAGCTGTCTTCAGGGATTAATATGTTCTGAATTGGATGCATATTTAATTTGCATATTCAAGTAGAAATCAGCCATTTAACTTTCTAATTTCCTAGCCATTTAAAGTCCTAGAAAAGTTGCTTTTTGGGAAAAAAAAATAGAATTAGAATGTTATTCTCATTTTAATGGGAGAATAGCCTTGGATCTGTAAAGTAAAACTTTTTAATGCCTTTTTTACTGCCCAAATCTGGAATCAGCATTGTTCATTTAGCATGTGTTTATCATCATGCTTCTGTATTTTCAGAAGATGTGCTTTATAATTTCATAAACCATTTCTGTTCCAAATATATACATAAGTAAATTACAAATTGAGAGCAATTGCCAGAGCCACATTAGTATTGTAACAGTAATAATAATTTAAAAAAAAAACTTTGAATAATTGATAGAATAAAAAATAAATATTGAAAATTTTTCCAGTTGGGAAAAAGTATCAGTTTTTATGGGATTATAAAAAAACCCATAGAGTAAATTGAAGAACATGAGAACATGCAAAGTTACTTTAAACTGAATCTGTAAAATATGTTATAGCCATATGGTTAATAATTTTCACAGATCTTCAGGACACAAGCTCTATGCCCATTTTTGAAACTCATAATAGTCTGTTTTGCACATACATACATTGGAAGTTGATTAGAAAATTCCAGGTGATTGTAACTAATAAATTTATTTCTTCCCAGCTTTGAATACATATGCTCATTAGAGAGTGCCTTCATATTTGCTTGTGTGATGTTCCCTAATTAGGCTTATGTAATCGAGTGCCAATAAGACTGATTAACTTCAGAACGCTTTGCCTTATATTTGAGAACCAGCTTATACATTGGGACATTATGAAGTATACATAATAACCTGTCTATAATTATTACACAAGGACAGTTAGTATGTGAAGGGGCAGGATATAGGTGGTTCAGGACACGGTATTTGGGGGAGGGGGGGAAGCTGGAGAACCTACCCTCCCACCAGCCAGTGAACACCAAACTTCTAGGTCAAAGAGCAATAGGGCTAAATTGGCTGGTTTTCGTTTTATTTCGGTTTTTTACTGTCCCAACAGTCTCTAAAACAACTTTAAGAAATAGAATAGGAGCAGAAAGCTACTTTCACTGCAAAATCTGTTCATAACGTTTTTAAAAGTAGCTTCAAATTTTCAGTATCACAGTTCCTGTGATTCTAGTCATCTTCCCTTCAAGGGTAGTACATGCAAGTCTGTAGAAGCAGCCATCTGGAATTTTCTAATCAACCACTTTCCTGAACCGGTTTACATGTGGCTGTGAGCATGAACCTCACTTGATATTTTTTGAGCGAAAGATAAATTGGGCACAGGACGGCTTTACGTTGCAGATACAGTCTGCGATGTATCTGTGTGGATGAACACTTGAAGTCCGATGGGACACATTTAAGCATTTACTTTATCTTGAAAGTCTGCACTGAATGATTGTTGCCAGGAAACCGCTTTGGGATCCTTCTGGCTGGAAAGCTGGTCCATGAGCTGTCATGCATGGGTTCTGCCTCGCAGCGTTTTGTACTAAGAGTGGAAACCGGCAAGAAAGGGGCGGCTAGAGCTTTGCTTAGAATGAAATCAGCTTCAGTGAGTCTGAGCAGTCAGGAAGCTAGTGTCATGCTTTTCTTCCCCCACTGACCCTTTCTCCTTTTCAATCTTAAACAACAGCGAGCCCCAGGCCATGTGCTACATTGAAACATCCAACTTAGACGGTGAAACAAACCTGAAAATCAGACAGGTAAGACCTGACACAGGTTTGTCTCGTGGCTGCTGTGTTCTTACGTGGAATCAGTCGCTTTACTTCTGTCAGTCGCTTTACTTCTGTCTCGAGTTGAAGTAATTCTGTCCAGTGGTGGGTGTTTTCTCACTGAGCCCCTATGAAGAGGGTTTAGAAATCAGTATCATTATGTTTTATGGAGCACTCAGATTTACTTGCCTGATTAAATAGGGTCCTGTTTGTATAGATACTATTTTAAATATTTTTATGTAGTAGCCAACACTCTGACGATCACAATAGTAGTCATTCTAATTGCTTTTGTTGTGCGTTAGCTTATTCTTTTTGCCTATTCACCTGACCCAAATTATTTGGGTTAACTATAGTGAGAAGACAGTTTTCGTTGCTGTTCTAATTGTCTCACTCATCTCAAGGAATAGTCTAGATTTGTTTACTTCTCACACCATCTCTAATAGAAAGCAACTGTAGGGATTTTATCTCTAAAGTTGTAAAAGGGACTTGAAAAATGTACAGTCACTTTTCATTTGAAAAACAGGGATGGCTCTGAGAGATGCATCCCAATGCGATTTCATCATTGTGCGAACCTAGATGGTTTAGCCTACTGCACACCTAGGCTGTATGGTGTAGTCAATTGCTTGTATACTACAAACCTGTACATGTTACTGCACACACAATAGGAGGTTAAATCAACCACAAGAGAAAATGATGCCAACACTGAGTGTCTGAGGCTGCTGCCTCCTTAACACGCATCCAGTTTATAGCACTTTTTATAGTAAGTAGAAATGGTATTTTCTAAATCATGATTAAAAAATATATAGTAAATACGTAAGCCAGTAACATCATCATTACCAAGTATTATGTACTATACATAATTGTATGTGAGCAATGCATTGCAACGTTCATAGGTGAAAAGGATTGTTCAGCTCCATGATAATCTTCCAGAAACGGTCACATATGCCATCACTTGTTGGTCAAAACATTGTTAAGCTGCTCATGACTGTGTTACCTAGAGTTCTAGGTGAATGGGAAGAAGGACATGTGGTAGATTGGGGTGAATGGGGAGGGAAATCGGTCATCACAGAATTGTCTGAGTTTGGTTCCAGACATTCCTTGGCCAGAGGGAAGAACTGTTTTGGACATAGATTTTATTCATTTTTCAGCCACTTTTTGAGATTCAGCAGAGAGATTCATACTGTATTTATTTTTTTAAGAACTTATTTTAAAATATCTTTTCAGACTAGTTTATAGTCTCTCAACTGTATTTTAGAACTTTCCAATAGATGTCCTATTCTTGTGCTAGAAACCTGTGTTCCAATGGAAAGGAAGGGATCCCTTCATTAGGAATCCACAAAATGTGTTTGTTGTCTGAAGGGGAGAATTGTTTATAAAATAGTGGGATCTCTTAGGTCATAGGCCTACATGGGTTCAGAATTCCCCCTTCCCTCCCACATGCAATGTATTTGATATACTCTTTACTTACTGAAACATTTCTAAACAGGGCTTACCAGTAACAGCAGATATAAGAGACATTGACAGTTTGATGAGAATTTCCGGCAGAGTTGAGTGTGAAAGTCCAAACAGACATCTCTATGATTTTGTTGGAAACATAAGGCTTGATGGACATGGGTATGTAAAGCCGGTCTTCACAACAACACAGAATCCCCTGTGTCACAGTGTATTGCTAACCTGGATACGTACTTCCTTGTGCTCTCAGTCTGAGCACTCAAAAACTTTTCCTTGAGTACTTCTACAGTACGTGAACCCAGAATCCTCTTGTGAAAATGATGACATCTGTGAATTTATCTTACCTTGTGTATTTATTATTTATTTTTATTTTTAAAAATATATTTGTATTGATATCAGGAAGGGAGAGGGAGAGAAAGGTAGAAACATCAATGATGAGAGAGAATCATTGATAGGTTGCCTCCTGCATGCCCCACCCGGGAAATTGAGCCCATAACCCAGGCATATGCCCTGACCTGGAATGGAACCATGACCTCCTAGTTCATAGGTCAATGCTCAACCACTGAGCCACCTCTGCCTGGCACAAAGCTATTTTTAATTTAAAGGAAGGTGAGGGAGGGGCGACAGAGCTCCTTACCTAAACACTTCCAAACATCTCAGAGCCCTAAATGGACTTAACTAAATCAGGAAAAGGCTTGAGTAGGCTTGAAAACGAGCCTCTGCATTCCACAACGGTGCCTCCTACTTTAGATTGCAAATTTGTAGGAAATGGCGGGATTGATGTTTAAGGAGAAGCCACTGAAATGCTTCCCCGTGGCTGTTCTCATGTAAGAAAATTCTTATGGGCAGAAAAATGACTTCTTTTCTAAACATACAGTAAATACGAGAAGGGTTATTTAAATAACAGCCCTTTTTTTTTTTTTTTTTGGAACGTTACAGTGTCAGTAGGGCTCTGAAGCATCTTAGAAAATGCCATTTCTAATGCCAATGTCCTCTGCCCCAGCACCGTGCCCCTGGGAGCCGATCAGATCCTTCTTCGAGGCGCCCAGTTAAGAAACACGCAGTGGGTTCACGGAATAGTCGTCTACACTGGACACGACACCAAGCTGATGCAGGTGGGCTCTGTGTCTGGGCAGACCTCCTAGGCCCCGGTCTTTGGGACATTGTGCTGTTTGTGGCTTTCGGGGTGGTCGTCCCACTCTTCGTGGACCATCTGTCACAGATCCCTGAGCCCCACTTTCTGCATCCAGACTCTCGTGCTTGGGTGAGTGGGCAGTGCCGTGGTTCACTGCACACACCACACCAGAGCATCTCCCCAGAGACCACCCGCTGCGTGAACTCTCAATGATCTTGCGTGTTGGCTCCATCGGCGGCATTTACTAACTATTGAAGGGATAAATGCAAGGTGTCTGCATAATGATGAGTGATCTGCCTGCCTTGAAGTATGTGTCTTATAATCTTATTTGAATACAGTGGTCAAATATTAGGACTTACTTTTCTTTTTCGTGAAATTAGAAGGAAAACACGTGAAACAGATGTTGACCATTGTTTCGTAGCATTTGGATGTTAGGCCATTTTTTATCAACCTTCACCCTAGCCATTTGTAATGTTTACACATGCCTGCGGATGCTCCTTCTATACATTTCGTATCATCAGTGTTCAGTGTTTAGAAGGGTGTGGGGAGCTCAGTTTGAAGACACTACATGAACATCTGCTCCGAGGGCTGATTGATAACTTGGTACATTGTAAAGTCATGAAACTATAATCATCAAGCAAGTAATACTGCTATTAATGATTTCACCCCCTAATTATTCTATAAGTTCTGTACGTCATTTCATATTGGTTATGGCATTTAATTTTCTGTCCTGAGAATGCCTTCTTTGTTAGCACAAATCTGGCATAATCATTTTTTTTACATTAAAAACATCTGAGGAAACCTGTCTCTATTATTTTCTGCACCCAGGGCTGCTTAGATAGTTGCTGTGTCTGATAAAAAACAGTTTCCCAATGCCACCAAAATCTGGAAACCAGTGATCCTTTCATTATTGCTTTCAGACTTTGGAATTTCCAGTTCTCTGGCTCTGGGTTCATAGGCAACTTCTCTGCCTCTCTTCCTAAGCAGAGATGCTAAGCCAGATGCTTCTAGTCTACCTCGTTTGCTTAAGTAGCCACGTAATACACTGTTCATCTTGTCTGCCACAGTACAAAAGCTGTGTTTGCAAAAGGCATGTTACTTTATTCTCCTATTATTGTTTTTACTAGAGGCCTAGTGCATGGGATTTGTGCAATGGTGGGAGTGTATCTTGGAATTGGCCCACTGTGGGAGCTCTGCTCATCCCAGTTAGCGAAGCAGCACTCCTACTATGAGAGCTCACTGACCACCAGGGGCAGCTCCTGCATTGAGCGTCTGCCCCCTGGTGGTCAGTGCACATCACAGCGACTGGTCGAGTGGTCATTCTGGTTGTTCCACCATTTAGTCGCTGGGCTTTTATTATAGTAGGAAATCCTAGAAAAAGGCTTAGATGACATAGCGGCCCTTAGAAAAAGAGGCTGTTAACCTGTGACAGCTTGTTACATCTGTGATTATTATCTGTATAATGTTCAGGTACCTGCCCATGTCTAGATGTTGAGTTTAATGAGGACCTTGTCATCCTCATCAAAATACTAGATACCTATTACTAAATCATTGTACACATTTCTTACTACTCATCTTGTGTCTTTTTACAGAATTCAACAAGCCCACCACTTAAACTCTCAAACGTGGAACGCATTACAAACGTACAAATTTTGATTTTGTTTTGTATCTTAATCGCCATGTCCCTTATCTGTTCTGTGGGCTCGGCCATTTGGAATCGACGGCATTCCGGAAAGGACTGGTATCTCAACCTGAGTTGTAAGCATGAAAGTGCTGGGCACTTTCTCTTTCATTAAAACGTGTGCCGGTGTTTGTTTCACAGCTGACCTTGGGATTTCCTGTGATTTCTGAAAGAAGAACATTGTGGCCAAGATAGCTGGGCATTTAGTCTTCACTTTTCAATGCAATTTTCAGTAAAAATAAAAAGTTAGAATCTCTAAATTTTCAGAATCCTTACCAATAAAACGAGCACTTCACAGTAACATAAAATGTGATTTTATTCATGTTATTTTCATGAATGTTATTCGTTTGTTTTAGAATATTTTAATGCAAGTAGTTAGACGGCTGTCTGGTAAAGAAAGCAGACAGTATATTTAAAGCATCAAAAGGAGTTGACATGTTTTTAACATGTTTGCATTGAATGTATTATACTTTCGCTTGAACTCCCGAGTGCAGTGAGTTCTGTGTTATCTGTCACCTTATCTGAGAGCATGTGCTGTTAGTTTCCTTTGGAGCATTTATTCTCTGTTTTATGGGATGAAGGCACCTCCCCTAACTATTTCTGGAAAGTAAGATAGCAGGGCCTTTCGACGAGTCCTTGACCAACAAATACTTAATTTTCAAATGTGTAAAGACATTCTAGGAAAATCTTTACGGTAACATTGATTTTTTTCAATTATATTGATTTAGCTTGGCAGCTACTCCAAGTTTTTGCTGTGGGTTTTTTTAGTCATTGGTTTACTATTTCAACTTTAAAACCATTGCGACTACCATCAATTTGTTTCTTTGTGTACATTACAGTGTAGCTGGGGTGACTGTTTTATTTTCATTATTGAAGATGAAGACTTTAATTTAACTAGAGCTGAGTTAATCGAGGATCCTGCCCTACCATTGTTTTTGCTGTCTGGGTTAGTTTTGCTGGTGCTGTTTTGTTTGTTTGCTTTTAAGGCATACTTTAAATTGGAAGCACTTTCCAAAAGCTTATTCAAAGTGGTTCTGCCCAGTTAAGATTTTTCATTTATAAACCCTCAGTCCTGTCCCTAATAGCTCTAAACTTTATGCTTGAAACAGAATTTGAAATGCTTGACAGTACTTTTACTTTTTAGTATCATTATGCATGTCTTAATGGGATTAATTAATATATTGTACACAAATAATGCTCTTTCATTTTGAAGAATGGTTTTTGAGAATTAGGATATGTTATCAGCACAGTATTTCTCCCAAACTATCAAGATATACTGTACTTTATGAAAAACTTTTGTTATGCTTAAAGTTCTGATCAAAATAACATATATAAAACCATAAATGTTTTTCTTCCCACCTTTCCCAACAGATGGTGGCGCTAATAATTTTGGACTGAATTTCCTGACCTTCATCATCCTTTTCAACAATCTCATTCCTATTAGCTTATTGGTTACATTGGAAGTGGTGAAATTTACCCAGGCATACTTCATCAATTGGGTAAATAGAAATGATTATTGTTTCTTATCACTCAAAACATATCTTTTCCTGATAGGATCTTTTGATTTCTTTGGAGGGAAAAAAAAATCTTAATTATACCTTACCTTTTGTTGACTACAAGGTAATATTTCAAAATATTTTAAGCCTAATACAATTGTAATAAGGTTATTTGACGTGTGAAAATTGATAACAAAATCTCTCATCTCAATAACACCCAAGTTTATGGACCAGACATCTGCAAAAAGTAGGTCTCTAGTTCAAGAAAACTATTTTGTTTTTTTAAATATATTTTATTGATTTTTTACAGAGAGGAAGGGAGGGAGAGAGAGAGCTAGAAACGTCGATGAGAGAGAAACATCGACCAGCTGCCTCTTGCACACCCCCTACTGGGGATGTGCCTGCATCCAAGGTACATGCCCTTGACCGGAATCAAACCTGGGATCCTTCAGTCCACAGGCTGACGCTCTATCCACTGAGCCAAACCAGTTTTGACAAGAAACCTATTTTGCATTATATAGTGGACTTGGGGAAAAGAAAATCAGGGGGTTTGGAGTTAAAATATTCTCATTCTACAATTTACTAGCTGTGTGAGCTTTGGCAAGCCACTTGACTTCTTTGAGCCATATTTCCTTGGACACTCACGTAGGAATGATAAATGGAACTTACCTGCTTCTCCCAGTGGTTCTGTAAATCCCAGAAATCTCACAACATAGCGGACAGCTTCGTAAACAATTGAGCACTATAAAAATAATACTGTCTGCACTTCTGTAGCAGCCAGGGCTCCTGCCATGTTTTACACATCTATAGAGTTTATGCTACCACACTATAAACAATTTCAGCTGCACTTGAATTCTTCCCCCCCCCCCTTAAATATTGTTTTAAATCTTGGGAAATGTGCTGGACATCTGTTTCCTAAATGTTTTATTTATAAAATACATTACTCTTCCTCTGTTTTATTTTTACCAAACTTAAAATTAATGAATTTATGTAAATTAAATTAATATCCAGGCCTGTCGTGCCTGAAAGTTTAATTTTTCTTTTATTTTGAGGAATTGTGGTGTTATCTCTTGATGTTTCTTTTTAAATAGCTTTAAAGTCTTTCTACTGGAACAATATTAGGATTTTTAAAAATATAACTGATGCTACTTTTGTAACTGCTCATTATCTTCCCATGGTAAATGATCCACCTCAGCTGTCAGTCTCTTAATTCATTGGTAAAAGATCCATATAAATCTAGGATGAGTTGCAAGCATAGCTCACTTCATGCAGGAGATACATAACCAGAAATATTCTGTAATGTAATAAAGTTTGTACAAATACGTTTAAAACTCATTGAAGGTTTTCCACTTATAATCAGAAGTAATAAAGTTGTGAATATCAAATAACTAATCAACTCCATTGCTATTTTATTTGGGTTTTCAAAAATAATATTTGCTTGAAATAAGTACATAATTTTAGTGGTGGGTTACCCCGGCAGACCTTTCAGCCACCTTTCTGATACACAGAGATTTTTTAACCTTTCTGACGGAAGAGATATCCCTTTCCAGCAGCTTATTCTTTGTGTGGAAATAAGATTAGTAGCTGCCTCATTTTGATCCTGTTTCTGCCCAGATCTTCCATGAAAATTGTCTCATCTTGTTTCCAAATACTAGCCTTGTAAAACATTTGAAATTGACTGTCATGCCAATTCTGTTATCATATCCCCTCTCCCCATTTAGTGTTCTCCATCTCCTTCGGTTCTTCATTTCATTTGATTTCCAACTTCCTCCCCCAAACATTGCCCCATTGCTTAATTTCTCTCTTCAATATTGTTTTAAATCTTGGGAAAATGTACTGGACATCTGTTTCCTAAATGGCACCCACAACTCAACAACCTATTCCAGGAATGTCATTGAGCAGTCTGAAATGCAGATATGAAGAGGTCAGATTTCACCTTTTCATATGACATGTGAAAATCAGTCAACTCTGATCATTAAAATATTCTGCTATAAAGAATATTAAGTTTTATGGGATTAGGAGTCAAAACTCATATTTCTTGGGTGCAAAGCAAGAACAAATTGGTGTGTAAACTATACGTTTCTCTTTGGGTTTTGAGAATGCACTCTTTTTGCTTTCAAGTGCATATCATGTAAGAAACTTAGCCAAGAAAGTACAATTGGATAGAATCCAGTAGGTCATTTTCCCAGAGGTGTGAAGTTGTACTTATTGTATCAATATTTAGTTGCTGTGATTTTAGCTCACATTAAGCACTTACATTGTGTCAGACCCCATAGGAAGAACATACATTATCTAACATACATTCTCTTGTTTAATCTTTACAGTCAGTCTGATATCCAGAGACATGCTCTACCCGTCACATTGCTCTGCCTTTACTGTGATTCTAGATTGGGCACTGTTCAGGGAAATCAACTGAACTGGTATAGGGATGGCAAAAGCTGCGAGTGATTATGTACACAGCTTACCAATTAAAATGAAATTTCACTCAGTGTCCTATGATTAGTTGTACTCACGGATTTATTTTATTTTTAAAAAGGATCTCGATATGCACTATGAGCCCACAGACACTGCTGCTATGGCTCGGACCTCTAACCTGAATGAAGAGCTTGGCCAGGTAAATGGTATTTCTCGTCTATGTGTTGACATGGAAGTCAGATTCTTTGTGATTTAGAAATGCAGAAGGCAACCATTAATGTTTGTGGCAATTACTTCGTATGAATTGACAGTACCTAATTTTCTATTACTTGAATAATCATATAAATACATATTAGTACATAACCATTAACTTTCATTTATAGTAAATGAAGTTGTAAATGCATTTAAAGCATATTTTGCTCTCAAATAAGGTATTGTACTGAGAGGTGTCCTTCAATATATAATCCAACTAGTAGTAAAGTATTATTTTTGCATTATAAACTCTCAGTTTAAAAATTGTTCATAGCTTTTGACCAGAAGGGAAGAAAAAAGTTAAATTCATCAATGAAGCTATGTAAATTGAACAACAGGAACAGTAGTCAAACAGGAATTTTAGATTTACAATTCATACAGTGTTCACACACGTGTATATTTGTCATCCATTTATTCAAACAAGGTGGGGCAAAAGTAAGTGTACAGTTTTACAGTGGTGAGTACACGAAGTACAGAGTTTACTCTTACATAATTATTTATCCGTTGTTGTATTGTTTTCTGTATAAACAACTCTAAACCCACTTTTGCCCCACCCTGTACTGGCTAAGAAAAGATTCTTCTTTTTTTTGTGCCCTGGCCAATTGCTAACTCTTATTTTTCAAATAAGCATTTAGACCAGAATCAGCCTTTTCCTTACCGGGTCAGATGTTGTATGAAGTTCATTGCAGAAGCAAATGCCTGTTGTTCGATTGTGTGGAGAAACACTGGTAGAGGTCTTAGTGCCCCATAAATGTCAAGGAGCAGTACATGCTCTTTCTGGTGGAAATTCATTCCACTTCGAGGCAGATTTCTGTTTGACCGTCATTTCTCTAATACCTTGAGAGTCAAACATGAAATGGTTTACTGTTCCAATACTGAACCAATATAGTTGAACATATTCCTTTATATGTTATAAGAAGTCCACTAATAGCATTCCATTGTGCCCCTACAATGTAACAGAATTGATTAAAAGAATAATTTGAGGGCCCCCCCCCCTTCTCTCTGTAGGAGACTGGCATAAAAAGACTTCTCAAATTTTAGTGAGATCTTTTAAACTCTCTCTCTTTTTTTTTTTAGGTAAAATACATCTTTTCTGACAAAACTGGAACTCTGACGTGCAATGTGATGCAGTTTAAGAAGTGCACCATAGCTGGGGTTGCTTATGGGTAAGTTTTTCCTCTTTAAATAGAATATGAAATACAACTTAATTAGTGCTAGCAATTTGGTACATTTTGAAAGTCCTTTTAGTGGAGATTTTTTTTTTTTAATCTGGAAAGCAGCAGTTTTACTTTCAACAGACATGTATGTGTTGTGTTTTATATTTGGAACCACCTCTGCCTGATAACATTTCAGTGTTTAGAGCTGCTCACGGTCTCTACCTGCTACAAACACCCTCCCTCTGTGTTGTCGTTAAGTTAGGGTACAGCTGGCACATGGTAGGAACATGCAGTCTGGCCTTGGGCACTTTTCAAGTTAAACCTTATTCTTGTTTCTCTGATAACTTGTCCTTTTGATTTGTTTTTTCTTTTTTCTTTTATCATCTCTCCTCTTTTCAGTCACAGAACAATTTACATTTATGGTGATGGGAAGGAAGTAGGGACATGAACCTCTTAAACCCAGGGAAGAATTAATAAGTATCAGCAAAAACTTTTATCAGGAGGTTAATGTCTCTTTGCATGTGCTGTTGAACACTCATTTTTTCTCATATCCAGGTATGCCTACCTGAACTGTTCAAAATCCTTGTTTTCTTTTTAATATGACTTTTTTAAATTGAATTTTAGAGAGAGAAAAAGTGAGAGGGAGAGAGGAAAAAAACACACAAAACATTGATGCAGGCATTCAACACCACCCTAGCCTCTCCAGGCTTCTGGGCAGCACGGGAAGGCAGAAAGGTGGCTCTGGGCCATAGTGAAAAGGTGGGAGTGAAGGCGATGCCAACAGCCAGAGGAAGGAAGGCCCATTCTTGCAGGAATCTTCATGTATCAGGCCTCTACTAAACTGTTCAGCAGCTAAAAAGACATTTGATTGAATGGTTTTTCCACGTCATAGAGACAGGCTGTTCATTTGAGAAGCATGTTTATGTTTCTGGGCTTAGGTGCCATGGTGCATCTTTCCTCTTGATCTGAAGATCTGCTAATTCTCTTAGACCGAAAAGCCTCTCGTCACCCCAACTCCGAACTTACTTCTGGCCTCACTGTTTGGTCAGCCACGGAAGCAGGAGAGGTGCAGGCATGCTTTTAACATTGTGTATGTGAGACCCACAGTAATCACGCGAGAGAAGGAAAGACCTGTCAAGATTCTAGAGTTTGTTGTATGATACTTGCTGATAGACTTATGGTAATGTTGGTTTTTATACAAATTCTGCATCCATCCCGAAATGCGATTATTAGAATTACCTATTTGATAATTGGCATCTTTTTTTGTCCATTTTCCAACTGAAGAAGCGTTTCAAAATAGTAATTATTGATGGTGAGTTTCTCAGAGCAGAAAGCTAGAATGGTCTCTAGGAATACTCTTTCCATCTGCATTTTCTTAGGTTGGTTATTTGTTTGTTGTTTAATTCTTGGAACAAGTCCTTCAGCACTTGCAGGTAGTCGTTCTGTAGAGCAGTGTTCTTCCTGTGTCTGCTGATGATGTTGTCATTAACTGTATATGGCAGAGTGGGGTTGAGACTGGTAAATATTAAAGTAGTATTCGCGTTCAGAATTATCCTCATTTAGATTTTAGATTAAGTTTTCAGTGAAACAAATTTCCTCTTTGGGAAAATAACCTCTCAATATCAAAATAACTCATAACACATGAGTTCTAGTTGTTCCTTTGTTACTAATTCACTGGGACCCTGGACAATTCCTTTCAGATATTCCAAACCCTTTAAAAATGAAGGTGGTGAGAGCAGGTGATTTCCCCCCCCTCCCCTCCCCCAGAGTTTGGAGCAAGGAAATATTTATTGCTTAAGGTTTAAGGCCTGGCTCAAGAAGATCAGAAAAGTAATTCTCAAATACATCCTGAGAGAGTTCAAAATTCAGGAGCTATAGATATGAAGGGAAGGAGGAATGGGTGAAGGGAAGAGGTGGGTGGGGATTGAGGACAGCAAAGGCATCTAAATCCTTCTGTTCCTCCACAGATCCGAGTTCGGTTCTGGAATTATTAAAAAGCAGGTGATCTTTAATGTGTTTTCGCCGAGGTATAAAATTCTAACATGTTTAGAAAATTTTTATAAAAGGTGTTTCTTTGTTTGCAAATTTTAACTATCTACACAGAAATATGTTTCTTTTTCCAGTGTTGCATCATGCTTTCAAGAATACCGAAAGCCTTGTTGAGTGAGGCCAGTTGTTCAACTGCTCCCAATCACCATGTATGGGTTGTATATGTGCTTTTAGGATCCTTCACCCTGACTGAGCTTTTAATAACGTCCTCTCCTCCAAACAGCCTGATGGTCAGGCAGTAGGAGCATCCGCCTTGTGGAGAGCTGTTAATAGCTGAAGGCTTTAGAGAAACCGTTAACTTAAGTCCACCAAACGCCACAGGAAAAAGTAATTATTGTCAGCCGCCTCTCTGTGGGAACGGCTTGGTTGATGGGAGTCCGGACACGGAAATAACGCACTTCTGGGACCCCCCCCCCCCGCCCCCCCCCCCCCCCCCGTGCCCTGCAGCAGCGTCTAAGGCTTGTAACACGGGGAACTATTAGGTAGGCACACTTCCAGCTCCCACAGAAGGAAGCATGGTGTGTGCCCCTCCAGGATGCGACAGAATAAAGGAAAAGAACGGTCTTGCACATACTAACAAATGCCTTTAGGGTTACAGTTTCAGAGCTGGTGTTTTTTCAGCATTTTTAAGCAGTGAGGGAAAGCCTCACGTAGGTAGAGCCAGTGGTCAGTTGTTTTGCTTTTATCTGGTTCAAGGGCAAGACGAAGTCTCTTGATAGTATAATCTTTACCTGGTTCTGTGTATTCCATAGGTTTGTTAGAAAATACTATTTAACCCTTAAAACAATGCTTCAAAAATTACTCTTGATTAACTTATTCTCATTTCACGTGAACTTTGCCCTAACTTGGATTTGTGGTGGACAATGACATAAAAATATTTGTACGCTTTGCCAGTTTGGCTCAGTGAGTATAGAGCCTGTGGACTGAAGGGTCCCAGGTTTGATTCTGGCCTTGGTTGCAGTGTGGAGCTTGCAGGAGGCAGCCAATCAATGACTCCCTCTCATCATTGATGTTTCTATTTCTCCCTCTCCCTTTATCTCTGAAATCAATAAAAAATATATTTAAAACAAGCCAAAACTGGTTTGGCTCAGTGAGTAGAGCATTGGCCTGTGGACTGAAGGGTTCCGGGTTTGATTCTTTTTTTTTTTTTCTATATTTTATTGATTTTTTTACAGAGAGGAAGAGAGAGGGATAGAGAGTTAGAAACATTGATGAGAGAGAAACATCGATCAGCTGCCTCTTGCACACCCCTTACTGGGGATTTGCCCACAACCAAGATACATGCCCTTGACTGGAATCGAACCTGGGACCTTTCAGTTCGCAGGCCGATGCTCTATCCATTGAGCCCAACCGGTTTCGACTCCGGGCTTGATTCTGGCCAAAGACACATGCCTTGGTTGCCATGTGGGGCAGCCAATCGATGATTCCCTCTCATTATTGATGTTTCTATTTCTCCCTCTCCCTTCCTCTCTGAAATCAATAAAAAATATATTTTTAAAAATAAAAATATTTATACAATGAAATAAAAAAATTTGCCCCCATTCGAATTAAAATCAGCAAATGTGTCTTTCTGTTCACGTGACTAGAGGTGAAAGCTGGGTAAACACCATGAATCTCTCTATTTGCCTTCCTGGGTGAATGCTAATCTCCTGCTAGGTGTGAGGCACAGTTAGATAATGAGACTGTAAGGGTCAGCAAAAGTTCACAGGGTTCCTGCCCCCTAGAGTTGATAGCCTAATTGGGGGTGATGGCTGTTGATTTAGCAATCATACAGACCATTAGAACACAGTACAAAGGTCTATGGGAGTCTGCGATGGGGGTTGATGTAATCAGGGAGGTCAGGGACCGCTCCCTGAGAAAGCAATACTTGAGTGGAGATCTAAGACGGAGTCTGATTCAGTGAAGAGCTTACCAGGCAGATGGAACAGCCCTGACCAGACATGCAAACAAAGGCGAAGGAATCATCAGACCGTGCAGACACACCAGCACTGCCGGAGCTGCGATCACAGGAAACTCCTGCAGACAGGATCAATAGCAGCCTGTAGGCGGCCTGCTGCTCATCACACTGCACAGTGCTCAGCATCTGCCAGGGCGGGCCAGGGGGCGGGGGACCCTGAGCCTGGAGTGCTGTGGTGTTGAAGCTGCCTGACTTGAAGTAGGACAGGTGTGTGAGATCAGGGGCTGCTGGGCAACACCGGTGCAACTTGACACAACCTTGGACAGTGTGGCTGCTTGGGTAGCAGACCCCCTGCCCCTGCCTCCTACAGTCTGAAGTCCAAGCCTGAGGTTGGTCAGAAGCGATTGCCTTGAACGCTGCAGTGTTCACTGCCATTGCCTTTTCTGGGAGTCCTGCCCACAAGGGGCTAGGTTAGCTCTTCCTCTCACGCTCTACAAAAGTCCTTTGGTAGAAGAGAATGCTGAGTGAGTAGAAGGGACTGCCCCCTTGTGGTTGGAGTGGCTACTGCACTGAGGCAGCTCAGCGCCTTGCAGGTGGAAGAGGTGCTCTGATTGACAGGGCCAGTTTGGTGAAGGGAGAGAGAGTGGGGTGGTCACTTAGGGAGTGAGAGGTCCCAGGGAAGTTAATCGTACATTTCTCAAAAGTAACAAACATTTTACATTGGTCCTGAACTCTGAATTTTTAAAAAGTTTACCTATACCTCATAGATTTAATTTAAAGGAAAAATATTGAACGGACATTTATAACAAAAGAAATGGGAGATAAAATCTGTTCTAGTTGCTAAGAGAGTAAATCTTAAATGTTTTTGCCACAAAAAAAAGAAATGATAATCGTATGAGGTGATGGGGATGTTAACTAAGGCTATTGCGGTAATTGTTTTGCAGTATATAGATGTATCAAATAAACACATTGTACATCTTAACCTTACACTGGTATATGTCTGTTCTATCTCAGGAAAACTAGGGGAAAATGATCAATAAAAATGAAATTTTATAAATACATG